GGAAACCTGACTTTAAGTCCATAGTTGAAAACCACCCGGCTCCACTTAGGGCATCAAGAGTATCATCAATTCTTGGCAGTAACAATACTTTATAATTCAACTTTTTATGTTAACTCAATGTTAATTTTTTATTTCAAAAGGAAATAAAATCTCAGTCTGCACCCAACCTATTTATGTCACGTGATGCAGTGGTGCTCTGACTTCTCGTTTATATACATCTTATATTCCCTTATAATTAGAAGCACATATAATAGATATTGACAAGCTAGAAGACAAAATTTCAATCTCTTTTTTTTTGCTTTAGTGAGATATCACTGTATTTGTTCAACTTGCATGATATGCTACTCCCATTTCCTCTGTCTGTTAAGAAATGCCCATAATTATTTCTGACATTTTTATTGAAAAGTTTATAACCAATAGAAAGAGCATATTCTAAACTAAATAAAATGGACAATTATATCTTTTTGTTTTAGTGGTCAACCTGATAATTCATCAGGAGAGTTTAATCTGTTTTGACTAAAGATGTTTCTCCAAGCATTAATAGAAAATTTAATGTATTTATTGGTTAGTTAGAAGCTAGATAAATTATAGTAGTTTGAGATGTTCTATTCTAATACCTGATATATTTTTATGTTCTAAAATGCATTTTTAAGCTCCATGAATTATTTTTTGGTTCAATCAACACAGTGAGAAAAAAATATGCTTACTAAACAATGCACCCAAATGCAAAAAGCTTTAAGGTTAAAGTTCTAAATTTTGTGTTTTTTATGTATACTTTTTATTTATTTTTCTATATTTTTCCAAAAAAGGTAACTAAAATCTAAAAGTTATAAACTTATTAGGTGAGTTAAGAAAACTTAAGTGAAAAACTCAATAAAAAATTTCTCATGATTTCTCTTCAAGGAATGCACTTGTGCTGCTGTCACATGATGTGACATGATAACTTATTTACCTTACACTCTCATCATATGATTTATTTCTTTGTTACATTACTTAGACACAGTTCAAAGAACAATAAAATTAAATGAAAGCATTTGCAAAATGATTAGAGGCCTGAAGTTGTCAAGATAAATAATTGCAATTGTCTGTTACAATCTTCAGTCATCCTAGAAAAAAAAAGGTATTTTTTATTTTATGTCATTTTTTGTAACTTATCATTTTACTATATATTGGTAGTTTTCTACAGTTAGTGTTAGGGTAGAGAAAAAAAGAGATAAAATATAAAGTTACAAAAAATAAAACTTAATGTTCATTTAGAAGGTTTTAGAGGTTATGCAAATGAAATACTTAAAACTGTAAGATGAAAAGAAGTGTTTTTATTCTTAGCATGGAAATAATCTTTCAATCAGACTGACTCAAGAAAGGCTGTAAATTCACAGATAAATCTTTCGTGGAAATACTTTATTAAAAAGCATGATTTTTTTTTGTGTGTGTGTATAACATACCTGTAATGTTTACTAAAAACTTGCCACATTTTGTGAAGATACACTTGGTTCATTCAGTTATAAAGTATATAGTTTCATGGTTACATGGTCAGTCATACTGACTGACCAGTTGGCATAGGGTAATTGTTTTGCTAAAGATTATGTTATTTGAAGGTTAATTCAAATTATGTTGGATAGATGGGATATCCCCAATTCTTTTTAAAGTTATTACTGCCGGCATTTTTCTATTTTTTCTTTTACAGTTATACTTTTTTGTACTTTTGTGACAGCTGGTATAATATTTTTGTCTTTGTTGTTTGGCTTAGTTTTCTTTTTGTATATTATATATACAAATTTCTTTTGTTTCAGTTACAGAAGAGTCATCTAGGGATCCATTTCGATCAGTGTAGAGTTCGAGCCTATTCTGTAGGTAGTCAAGCCACTAAAACATCAGCTAAGCATCAAGGTGCAATTGAATCAGAACTTGAGACTTTGAAATCTATGGATGAAAGAGTTTCAAAAAAATCTTCTAGTGCACTTCTTCTTCCTAGTGGACTTTGTTGGACTAGATCCTTTATCAGCAAGAGAGATTACAATGAAGACTTGATGGAAATGGACTATAACCAAGCACCAAAAGTTGAAACAAATGCAGACCAGGAGCAGCCAGAACCTGTAAAAAAATACTCCTTTGCAAGTAGTCAATAGAGGTCAAACAGTTGTTCATCAACTGGTGCTTCACCTATGTCGTCATTAACTGAACTCTCTGGAAAGCCAGAATTTAAGAACTCGAGGCTTTCCAAAAAAAGTGACAACACCTTGCATGTTGTTGGTCAGGGAGCTAACTCTTCAGATAGTGATAAACTAAAACAGGAAAATTAACTTCAATTAACTGGAGAAGAAAGTGGGTATATCTGCATGACTTATAGAGCAAAAGATAAAAATAACTATGTAAATATGACACCAGAGAAAGGACAAACAGACTATTTCATGATCACTTCATCTAACAATATATTGACATCAGAACATGTTTCAACAGATAAAACATCTGTGAAGTCTTTATTATCTTCTACTAAGTTCTATGGTGGAAACTACATGAAAACAAAAGTCCAAGAAGTGTCTAAGGCTCAGTCAGAACCACTAGATGATGAATAAATATGTAAGCCAGCTAGGAAACAGAAATACACTACAGATTTTAGTGTAAATAAAGTGTCAGTGAACAACGAAACTAGCTTAGTTAATTAAGTCTGAGCCTATAGATCTGTCAGGAAACTATGTAACTTTAGACCTGAATCATACTACTTATGCCACAAACTTAGTATCCACCAGTGTGCCAGAAAGTAATTTTGGTTTTATGTTATCGCCTTTCAAACCTAACCATGTCCCAGAAGATGTGAGCATTCAACTGAATGAATCTGGGAAATTGACTTTTCTAAATATACCCTCAAGTTCACCATTGTTAGAAAGTAACTACACAGTCATTGCTTCATCGCAGACACCTACCTTAGAACATGTCACATTAGCATTATCAAGCATCTGTAGATCCTTTCCTTACCCCACTGTTACTGAAAACGTGTCTTCATCCCAAGTTTTATATGTTCCTGTTATACAAAAAAGCAGCAACAAAGAATTCTCAACCATTGCAGTCTCAGTCCACCATTAAGAAAAAGATGACAGCACCACTTTGCTCTGCCTTTTTCAGGGCTGTCTCTTGTTAAGATTGGTGAAACAGCAGGTGATTGGTGATGAGTGAAGATGAATTGGTAGAACATGAATTCTTTCTTTATTAACAACCAAGTCACATCTCTCTACTATGCTTGTTCCAGCAGAGACTATTTCCCACTCATCTAATTAGAATAAGTCCAGATTGTTTGGTATGCCAACAAATTCCCCCACCTCTCTACTGACAGAAGCAAGAGACAGCCACAATTTGACTGAAATTACCTGTGAAGACATATCATTAGGTGGAGATTCAATATCCAACTCACACCCCTCATATTTAGTTAGTAACTATGCTTTTCTTGACTTGACTGCTACTCCTCCAGAGTCAGACAAAACACCAAAGTCTTCCCTTACACTGAAGATGAAGCTGGAGAGCATCCTCTTTTGTATATTGAAATTGACTTTATTTAATCAGAAAGCTCAAAGAATTCTTCATGCTGTTTATGGGAGAACAGAGTTTAAGTATTTGTATTAGTACCTAGTCTTTAAGATGTTTTGTTGACAAGTGAAAGCAAAGTGACTGTACCTACTGCAACAATGAAGAGCTGGTGTATGTAATTTAGGTAAGCTCATTATAAGTGAAAGCATTGATAAAAGTTATTAAAGGGAGATAAAGTAAACTTAATGGTTCATTAAAAGAAAATTATTTGAAAAGCTTTTTGTATGAGAAGTTGGAAGTTTGTAAAGTTAATTAATCTTTATGTTGTTTCAATTTGCATTTTTCAAGTGATTTATTTTAATAGTGTTTAAAAGTAGCTAAAAACTACAAATAAGAAGGAATCTTTTTTCTTTCTTGTTCTAAGTTAAATTCAAGTGCAATACACAAAGAGCTATCATCCTTATATTCCAGCAAGATTTGTAAATATTAGTTTTACAAAAGTTAAACTAGTGTACATCATTTGTTAGTAACCTTTAAGAAGGTTTATGCTCAATTCTGCATTTCCTACTTCAAAACTGGCTATACAGATGATGTAACAAAAGTATAGTGTTACTACTTTATTCCAGAAATAGCCTAGAATGACAATTTATTTACCTAATTTTGTGTGGTTCATCAACCCAAGCTTGTCAGTATTGTCTTATTCTCATTTAGATATAGAATGTTGCAGTGCTAAACAGTGGATTTTATTGATGTTTGTTTTACAGTTATTGTTAAAAGTATCTTGTTTGAATTTGAGTGATTACATTTATTGCAATAGCTATCAGTTATGAATTTTGGCCACTGCTCTCACTACTAAGTATATAGATAAAAACTTACTCTAAGGTTTCTTTCATAAGATGTTAAAGAAATTATATATCTACCCCAAAGCTAGTTTCATCAGAATGTTATTAGGTAGACTTAATATTATTCTTGGTAATAAACAAACTATGTTTTATATCAATATTTGATTGTTTTCCTTCCATTATTTTCCATTTTATTAATTATTAAATATATTAGTGTGAGAAAAAATGATAATCCTGATGAAAATCTAGATATAATGATTAGTATCTTTTATAACAAGAATATTTTGAATGTGGTTTTTTTTACAGTGTAACTTGTATTAAAAGTGATATGTGTATTAGCTTCAAATCAAGGCAGCCTGTGTTTGAATTATTATCTACATTATAATCCATTTTTTAAGAGTTTTAATATTATTTTATTGAACATTTGAAAATTATGGTGGTTCATTCCAGGATTGAAACATTTTCATTTATTATATAATAAGTACATTACAATACAAAAATATAAAATAGAACAGTATTTTAAAATTTTTTTAATTGTATATAATAATGAATAAACCTCATTCAAAAAAACAATAGGGATGAAAAAGTCTACTTCTCAATTTCTTTCTCTCTCTCTAGTTAATTGAATTTTATTCACAGATATTTGCTGTTCCTATAAAGTTTTTTCATGTGTCTTTCAAAGAATTTGTTATTTTCGGGTGTAGGATAAAGTAATGTTGCTTCACAGCTATTTGAATAATATAATTTTTCATATTATGTTCGAGTGAGATAATAGTCAATATATATTAGTATTCCTTTTGAACACTGGCTTTTAGATATGATATATTAATTATATTATGTTTTATTTGAACTGGCTAGTTTTGAAAATTTTATTTGACTTGCACAAAGCTGTTTCTTAAAATTACGTGATTCAGTATTGTTGTTTATTACTGTAGGTATATGAAATTGTAATTTGGCATAGAAAGTACAATAATATGCACCTATTTATTTCCAAATAAAGAGTTAAATATCTGTGTTTTAATAAATATCTTTCATGAGTTTGATATATAATATCTGTATTTTTGCTTAAAGGACAGTATTTGCAAACTCTTACAGAATCTGTACTATTATAAAATATCAATCACATTGCTAAAGATGTTATTTGAAGGTTTTGGAAGTAATTATAAATTTTATTAATCTAACAGACTCTAGAAGGCAGAGAGAATAGAAAAAGTATGCCATGGGAAGTTTCTTAAGTCAAATATTAACCATTTTCAAAAAAAGATAGCATCATGGATCACTACATTATCAAAATTTAAAAAAAACTATAAAGCTTCAGCATTTGAGAAAAAAAGACTATTCTCTCAAAGCACTTAAACTTTTGGAACCTTTTATTTTTAATCTGGGGATGTTAATATGAGGTTCCCATGAAAGCTGTCATTTGTGTGGCTAAAGCATGTAAGCTCCTGTAAAGACAGATACCTTGCTGAAAATTAAAGGTGGCGATAAGACTAATTCAGATGTGATGCCTCAGGAACTTCAAACACACATATACATATGTGCATTAATTGCAATAAATTATAAACTTTTAATTTTAATTAAATATTTATATTTTAGTCCTTAGACTTTGTGGTTTATTAACTCAACTAATGTTGTGAAAATATATACCCCAAGTAACAAAGCTTCTGTTTCATGGATAAGAAGGCTTCTAATGCTGAATTGCGATTTTAAGGACACTTATGGGATATTCAGTAGAAGCTGAAGGTAGTTTATCTGGCTTGCTTAGTTTTTTCAGCTGATCATTGGGTAAAAGGATTGTTATATAGCTAATCAGGCTAACTAATAATATTGCTGTATTATCTTGAAGCTGTTGTTGAGGGTAAATGAGGTAAGTAAGTGGTATATACTTGTGGTATATCTAATTAATTACTAAGTATGCAGAAGTTTGAATTTTAACTTGCATTATTTAATATCTTATGTATAAAAGCAACATTACTTTATAGCATCTATTTTATCATCAAAATGTTATTATGAATTATTTAACACAATTCAGCGTATCTTGTGAGGCATGGGCATGACAGATTAAACATTAATTATAGATAGCATGTCAATACATTTATGTAAGAAGCAATGAACTTCAATAAGGTAGACAGTATAGACTCAAATGAACTACACACTTGAAAACAATGTCTGTGTCTATGAGATGTCAAATAACTAGAACTTAACTGACTGCTTCTGTTGAAGAAACAAAACCCAGAGTAAATAGTTGTAGTTCTTTGTGTATCTGTATTAGAGGTTAACATCAAAGTTTTTCAATAAACATTTTATGGGAAAAGAAACATTTGGTATATGTTAATGAATTATAATGTCGATTGTACATGTATTAATATTGTTGCGTCATCGAGATCACATGACTATTATCACGCCCTCTACTTTCTAGCCCTTT